GAGACACGACGTCCCTCACTAAACCATAGCGCTGCAAATGAAGGGAAATGTAGAGAGAGTGGAGGACCTCCTGGCCCACCACGCCCCGAGGACAATATTCCTGCTCAGAGCACACAACGCACAGAAAGGACCATAGGGCCGGCCCCACCATGAGACACGACGTCCCTCACTAAACCATAGCGCTGCGGGGGACAACACTGGAGACACAGTGCAGGAATAGTGCACAATCTGACCCCTCACAGTGGGTGAAACACTAAGGACATGCAACATTGCAGCAAGGTGAATTCCCCGGGAAAACCAAACATAGACTTTGAAGGCAGAGTGTGGCACCCATCAGACTTGACTGGAAAACACTCTTAAAGGCCAACAAACAGACCCTGAACTATTTATAGGCTTATCCATTTTTGTCAGTGGCTTTCTTTTTGTTATTTTTATTTTGTTGTGTTTTTTTTGGGTTATTGTTGGTTTTGACTTCTTTTGTTGTTTTATTTGGCTTTGCCTGGTTTTCACACTTAGTAATGTATCTGCATTAGATAAGATAGGCGGGATAAATAATTAGGAGATGAAAAGAACAGGACCAATGGTTCCAGAGTGGGGGGGTGGGGGCGGGGATACAGGAGAAGGGGAAGTGGGAAAAAGGAAGGGAGGGGGGACCAATCCAGGGACAAGGGAACATGAAGTGAACTAAAATCAATGGAAAGAAGGGTGTAGGATGCCTAGTGGGGCTGAATCAAGGGCAATGTAACCGAGAGGAATTACTAAACCTGAATGAAGGCTGAACATGATGGTGGGACAAGAGGAAAGTAAAAGGAAGTAGAGGAAAGAACCAGAAGGCAAAGGACATTTATAAAGGTCTAAATACAGTCATGTACATATGTAAATATATATATATATGAATAGGACTATGTACTCATATCTATACGTTAAGAATTAAGGTTGCAGATGGACATTGGGCTCAACTCTAGTATTCCCTCAATACAAGAACACTTTGTTCTAACAATCCAGCATTCTGTGATGCTACCTTCCCGACACAATCGCTGAAAACAAAATGGGTGCATAAGTAAATGTGGTGAAAAAAGCTGATGGTGCCTATGAAAGATAATAGCGTCTGGAATCTTAAAGACTTGAAGAGAAACAAGCGGCCATCTTGCTCAGAAGCAACAAAGCCCTCATGGAAGAAGGACACCAGCCTGTGTGATCATGAGGTATCGATGGGATCAGGTATCATGCATCAAAGCCCCAGAATAAAATCATACCCAATGTGAATGGGGGGCAGTGGGGGAGGTGTAAAGCCAAATTACCCCCGTGTCTGGTACTGCGATCTCTCGGGCAGGCTGTGGTTTCATGTTTCCTAGCAGTGCAAAGTAAGATGTACCCAGAACGGAGGCTAGCCAACCCGGGGGCGGCACAGCGAGCCCAACCTCTGAGGGGAGGAGGACAAGGCCAGCGCTGAACTACACAAAGGACCAGACTGCCAACCTACCTCAAATGAGCCAATCAGTGGATTGACGGGAGGAGGGGGCTGGGAACACCCTGTTACGTATACCTGTAAATAAATACTTTGGAATTTCTTTTGTGGGGGCTCTTGTCCAAGCCGGTGCACGCAGTTAAGCACCTGAGGACTCGAGAGCCCTGGCTTAAGCTAGCATAATAAAACCTCTTCTGTTATTGCAGCCTTGTGTTTGATCTCATTCCATTGAAGGGGAAATCGCTCCAGGTCCCTAACAGAGGCAGTGGAGTGGAGACCCAATGCCCATCTGTAGACAACAGACCCCTCACAGAGGGGTCACAGGAAAGAGATGAGCCAGTCAGGGTGCAATATAGCACCGATGAAACACACAACTTTCCTCTAGTTCTTTGGTGCTTCTTTCCTCCCACTATCATGACCTCAATTCTACCTTACAAAGTGGATTAGACCAGAACATGCATACTGCTACAGATAAGAGCCAGCAACACAGGGAATCCAGGATAGATAACCCCCTCAGGAACAAATGAGAGTTAAAAAACCAGGAGGATTAGGGGAGGGTGGGGGGAGAAAGGGGAAATTGATCACAAGGATCAACGGGGGATGAATAACGGAAAAGTGGGTGAGGGGCTACGGAGGACGATGTAAGACATGAAAATAATCTATAACTTATCAATGGTTCCTGAGGGAGGGCAGGCGGAGGAGGGAGGAGGAAGAAATGCAGAGCTGATACCAGGGGCTCAAGCGGGAAGAGCATGCTTTGAAAATGATGATGGCGGCATGAGTGCAAATGTGCTTGACACACTGGATGGATGTATGGATTGTTGTAAGAGATGTGAGAGCCCCCAATAAAAGTATGGGGGGGGGTTAAAAAGCTAAAAACAACAACAACAACAACAACAAGACAGGCAGTTCAAACCTTCCAATCACTCTGAGGGAAAAAGATGAGGCTGTCTGCTCCTGTAAAGATGTGCAATCTCAGAGACCCTATGCGTCAGAATTGATTTAATGGCATGGGTATTCAAGGAAAAGGGCATGGCATGTTGAACAGCATGGTTTATTTCTGAACTATAAGCAGTGAAGATTCTATTGCAGCATGAAGTTTGAGGTGGGACCTATATTTTACGATGGAGCGGAGGTGGGGAGATGAGCTCATTTTTCTTAAAGGGTGAGCCCTGGATGAAAAGGCGTCACTTTAAAAGATGTGTTCAGGGCGTAACGGCTTCCTTTGCTCTCTTCTAGATGTGTCTGTTAGGTTCTGCTGGACATGAGCTGTAAGTAGCCGCAGAGTTTTTATGCTACACGTTGTGAATTCTACAATATAATCAATGGGAAGTTTGTGAGAGATTTTTAAACAGTGAGACTCATAAAAGTAACTTGGGCAAGGCAACGTGGCTATGATGATAAAACTCAGAAGGTAACCTGCATTTCTAGTTCAAGGCGCTCGCGTCCCGTTATATGGCTCTGAACCCTAATATTTCTGGAGTGGTTCGGCAAGTGGCCCGGGTTCAGGAGCAACGTTCAGAATCTTTTAAAAGTTCAGTTTCATGAGACGAGGGCACGCTTTCATCATACAGGAAGTCTTGTTATCAACTCTATAGTGATGCCTTCTTTTCGGTCTCTCCCTCTACAGCACCTCCCTCTCCTTATTCCCACCCTTCTCTCCTCGCCTCTTCTTTCCTCATTGTCCGGACCCATTCCGTGTGCGGCATGCCGGGTAGTGTAGTCGCTCTCCAGGTGGCGAGGCTCATTGAGTGGGCGATCCTATGAATTCCCATAGGGCAATCGATTTTAGAGCGGGGTGGAGACGGGAAGGCCCCGCCTGTTTATGTCGGGATCAATCTGGAATCTGCACTGTCTACTGCCCCAAGGCGGCCTGAGGACAGGGAACTCTTGAACTCAAGCCTCCGAAGCGACGCGCATTCTAATGACGTCACACAGGACCGGAGGCTCCTGGGATATACTGTAGTTCCTAAAGAGGGCCCTAGCCTCGGCTGCTGCTGCTCGACCCGGGGACTACATTTCCCAGGAGCCCTCGCGAAGGCGCGCCACGAGTCGCCCGAGCACTTGATTGGCTGGCGAGCCGGCCGCACGCGGAGGAACTGAGGAGGCCGCTCTGTTGCGACAGAGGCCAAGCAGCGAGGCCCGGTGAGCTGTGGAAGGCGCGCTGGGAGAAGGGTGCCGGGCGGTGAGGGTGAGGGACAGGGAGGAGAGACGGGATCGGTGTAAGGATCCTGCGGGGAAGAAGGAAGGATCCAGGGGGACCGAAGCCGGCGGGCGGGTGGGTGGGTGGGTGAGAGGGCTCGGAAGTAGCGCCTGAGGAGACCTTTTAAGGGACTCCTTCTGGGGAGGGCGAGCGTGCCCCAGAAAGAAGCTGGGCGGGGGGCTGAGTAGTGTGGAGGTGGACGACGGCGAGGAGGCCCGAGTCAGGAAGCTAGCAAGAATCTTGAGAAAGTGAGGCGGCTGACGTGGGTGCCGAGAGCCAAGTTTCGGGGAAATCGGAAACGCGGGGGTCCTGTGATTGGAGGCGCTGAAAGAAGGAGCGTTTCCAGAGTGAGGTAGTCTATGGGATCCGGCGGCCTCAGTCCCAGAGAAGAGGTTCTAAAGTTAGGGGAGCGCCTGGGATCGTAAGAATCGGTTTGGAAGAAGCTGACAAAAGTTCGGAGAGACGAGGCAGGAGGCCGAAGCGAGAGTGCAGGCACGGACGGGGAAATTCCCGAGGCGTGGAGCAGGGGCCAGGCAGCCTTAGCCGGGAGTTTAGAGCTTGGGCTGTCTTGTCTCGCTCCACCCAGGCTCCTTGAAAGAACAGTAACCTGCCCCTGGGGTTCACCATGCCCTCCGACCTGGCCAAGAAGAAAGCAGCCAAAAAGAAGGAAGCTGCCAAAGCCCGGCAGCGACCCCGAAAAGGGCACGAAGAAAACGGAGATGCTGCCACCGAGCCGCAGGTGGCAGAGGAGAAAAACGAGGAGTCCAATGGCAGCGAGTCCACAGGTGAATTGAGGGGGCCGTGGGTTTCCCCCTGCCAGAGTCAGAGTCTTGATGCCAAGGGCTGACCTGAAACTTCCTGATGACAAACCAGTATAGGTGGGGCATGTGCCACCCACCCTGGTCTTGACCAAGAAAGCTCAACCCAAGGGTCTTACATAATCATTCGGTGGCAGACAAGTAACAGGCACTGTGGGAGCAGCCCTGCCCTCCGCTCTATTGAATTGCAAGGAGGTCGAGTTCCCCTACAGTTTAAATTTCTCACTCGTTCACCTGGTAGCTAGTGTGCCAGGCTCTCCGCCGTATTATGCCTTTTCCCGCCCACAGGCAGTGACTGGTAACAGAAAGAGCTACCTTTCAGTTGTTGCTACTTTGGAAAATGTTTTTTGAGTGCTCCCTAAGTGTCAGGCACAGTGCCGTCTACACAAGGAGTGGCTCTAAATCCAGGCTGCCCCAGATAATGTAGAATGTCGATGGAGAAATAAGGCATTATTTGATAGAGTGTCCCAGGCCCTTGGTAATCTAAACCCATCCTTCTGTCCTTCTCCCTCCAAACTTCCTAATGGACAGTCTGCTGCATCCATACTTTACCTGTTCCCTCCACATTTTTTTCTTTCCCCCATCAAACCTGATCTCTATATTTCTATTTATTGTACTCTATAAGGGCGGGGGTGAAGGGTGGGAGGAGAGTCGTTCAAAAAAGCTTGTGGAAAAAAGGAATTAAAAGATAATGGAGTTCTTCCATAAACTTTTTGAAGCCTCGGAGGATGTTGCTTATCTTTTTAATGTATCTTCTGTTTTTAATTTCCTTTAAATTGTTTGTTCTTTGAGTGAAGAGACCGTGTTTTGTGTGTGTGTATGACCAGATTTGCAGGTAGACACTTTAAGTAAATGTAACATCTCTTAATAGATAAAAACATTAAGACAGTGGTTCTCAACCTGTGGGTCGTGACCCCTTTGGGGGTCAAACAACCCTTTCACAGGGGTCGCCCGATTCGTAACAGTAGCAAAATTACAGTTATGAAGTAGCAATGAAAACAATTTTATGGTTGGGGGTTCACCACAACATTAGGAATTGTATTTAAGGTTCGTGGCATTAGAAAGGTTGAGAACCACTGCATGAAGAGGGAAGGAGAATTAGTCATGCAAGTTACAAAAGACCCAATAGAAATTCAGAAACAAGGGAGTTAATGACAGAGAGGTGAGAGTTAAGTGGTAAGAATTGTTTCCAAATTAAGAATTCTGGAGAAGGCCAGTGCAAAAACTCAGTGGTGGTGGAGTTTTATTCCTGGCCCGAGTGGTGAAGGGACAAATTAGGAGTAATGGGAATAACTGAGCGAGCTGAGTCGTCATCTCTAAAGCAGAGGCAGGACCCTTGGGTTAGCAATATTAACCGTTCACTCTATGGGTACTTTTCTCAATGAGAGAGAGAAAACTAAATCCCACTTCAAAACCACTGTCCACAATTACAGATTTCTTATTCACACTTTCCCATGGAAAAAGAATTTCCCAGGGAATCCAGGTGTAGTATCTTCATCTCAGGAATGTTGGATCTTTAGTTTTCACTCTGTTTGCTCCGTGGATTACTGTTCTGAAGTGGGAAACCTCTGTTCTTTACAACTATCTTAAAACTCCATTGCCAGGATCCAGGGTCACTTCTTGTATAATTGATTAGTCACCTGCATATTCCATGAAAATTCTCTTCTCTATATCTGGAGGTACTTGCTGTTGTGAGTTACCATACTCTAGCCTTTACTCATTGCCATTACTACATGACTTTTCTTAGATGGGTAGTAAAATTTGAAAAATCAGTGTAAGTATCAAAGTGATTTTATAGTGATAATCAGTTCAACTTTCTCAGGATGTGAGTGTTGTAGACAGGTCCTAGAGTTAAGCTGGTCCATATTGGCCCATAAAACAAGGAGGCAGGGACCCCTCTTCTTTGGGGGGAGAGTAGCATGAGACTTTTGTGGAGTTGGCAATATTCTCCTTGATGAAGTTTATTCCAGAATCCTTATTCTTTAATTATTTTCACTTATCCAATGTTAATTCAATTGTATTGTGGGCCTGTTTTCTAGCATGTTGTAGACTAGTATAGTGAAGCCCTTAGTTCTTTCTTTGGAAGTTCAGTATTCAATTAAATCATAGATGATGTAAACTAGAAATGAGCAAAAGAAAATTACATGTGGCTTTCTCTCGCTTTTGAACTTCCCCTTTGCCTAAGTAGATAGAGTTATTTTGACCAGGGGCCAGCAAGTCTTTTCCGTCAAGAGCTAGATAGTAAATGCTTTGGCTTTGAGAGCCATGTGATCTCTGTAACAATTATTCAGCCGTGCCAGTATAGCAGAAAGTGTTAATAAATGATAATACATGTGGCTGTTTTTAAGTAAAACTTATTTACAAAATCAAGCCACTGGCCAAATTTGGACTACTGCCTTTTTTCTTTTTTTTTTTTAAGCCTCAAGCTGAGAATGGTTCTTAAGCAGTGATCTATGGTGCTGATGGGTAAACATTGGGCTGCTAACCTTAAGGTTGGCAGTTCAAATCCACCAGCCGCTCTGCAGGAGAAAAATTAGGTAGTGGGGTTTTTAGGTATTGGTACCTGTATAATAGTCTCAATTTTGCCACTGTACCCACAAAACCTAAGATCTTTACTCTCTAACCTTTAAGAAGAGTTTACTAATTCCTAAACCAGACCACAAACTCCTTCCTATTCCATCTTCCTGACATGTAAAAGAGGGATTTACACAAAGTGGGGCTTTGGGAAACATTGTAAGTCATTCATATAGAAGTGACACTGGTTTGGGTTTTCTCTTTTCATCCTTTCGCCTTTCCAGGAAATCAGAAAGTATTTATATGTATAGAACTGTGTGCTGGGAATGGAACTAGAGAGAGGAAATGCACTTGTGGTGTGATCCCTGCCCTTCAACCTGGTCCCTTGCACACAGTGTAGTTTTCATGAACTGATTCTGTAAACACCCTTAATCTTAACAGGCTATACAGAGTATAGTCTCAAGCCTGACTCTCCAACCCTGCTTCCCTGTGCCACCCCATCTCTATTCCTGAGGACACCCATAGATTTTTCTCATTTTAAGGTTTCTACTATAATTGGTGGAGGGGAGGGAGGAGGATGATAAAAATAATAAGAAATTACAAACTTCTTAAAATAGTGGAATCTGGTGTGTAGTTATTTTCTCTTTTGAGTGAAGCTTACCAAAATTCCCTCCACTCCCATTTGTTCCATTTTCAAGGTGCTTTGGGGCCACTGCCCTCTATGGAAAGATAGTGTAGTGAAATAGTTGAGCTCATAGACTTTGGTGTCAGGCCAGCCTGGGTTCACATTTGGCTCATGCCCCAGCCTTTTTGATCCTGGCTAAGTTACTTAGCCAATCCGTATATAAAGTAGGGTCTAGGAAAGGGTATGCTTTTCCATAAGAGTTATAAAGATTAAATTAAATAGTGAATCACAGTGTAGCATAATTCCGAGCAGAGAGTAAACTCAACAAAATTAGCTTTAAATGCCAATGGTTCTTCTCACCCTAAAAATGGGATCCTGCTTAAAAAGCCACAGAGGCAGGACAGCTAATCTCCCAACTCCTAAGGTCAGTTTGCATCTCTGAAGCCCTCTCAGTGGCTGTGCTTTCATTGATCCTTCTGCATGTCCTCATACCTGTTGCTTCTAGAAAAGGCGCCCCTAGTGGTGTAATGGGGTTGCACATTGAGCTGCTAGACAAGCTTAGTGGTTCCAACCCACCAGTCACTGCACGGGAGCAAGATGAAGCTATCTGCTCCCCTAAAGATTTTGAAGTCTTGAAAAACAATTCTGCTCTGTCCTATAGGGTTACTGTGAGTCAGAATCGAGTTGAGGACCCCAAGTTTGGTTTTTTTGGGTTTGGTTCCTTTCTGGGTAGCTTAATTACACACACATGTCTAAAGCCATAGTCTTTCCAGGGTACCTCCAGTCTCTGTCGGACAAGTACGTCTGGTCATTGATATGAACTTGAGTTTGGGTCTTCCTTTCCCTCTCTTTCTTTCCAGGGCCTATGATTGTGATCCCATGTAGAGCTGGGGGTGGTGGTGTTAGCCAGCACCCTCTAGGTCTTCTGGTCTCAGGCTGTTGTTCATGTAATCCATTAGTACTTTGGATTATTGTTTCTTTGAGTCTTTGTTTTGATTTTGTTTAGTTTTGATTCTCTTTACTCTTTCTCTGGATGGAAAGAGGCCAATAGTTGTATCTTAGAGGGCCACATGCAAGACTGTAGTCACTACGCAACCAAAGTAGAATGTAGAACATTGTGCAGATTATGTTGTAGCTTCACCTCTTGGAAGCACAATTGAGCAGTTCTCTTAAGTCCTGGAATAAAATCATTTCATGTCTGTACCATTTGCTTATGCTTATGGTGTGTGTGTGTGTGTGTGTGTGTGTGTGTGTGTGTGTGTGTGTGTGAATGTAGGACTTTAGCCATTCCTCCTTTGGTAGTTACATTAAGAAAAGGAGAATGTAGAATTTAAGAGAAAACTATACTGACACTATCTTGATGCTATTGAGCTGTATAACTACACAGTGGATGTTTTTCTCTGTGTATGTTATAACCCACAAACAGAAGGGAATGAATAAACAAAATGTGAAGAGAGAGAAAGAGGAGGGTCACAACCTTAAAAACCTTTCAGATTCCTAACCTGTCAGACCTAACCACTGGTCTGAGGGGTATAAAAGGAAGGAGGAAAAGTAAAATCGAAACTGACTTAAATTCTTTTGTGACATACAAGCTAGTTAAAAAAGTAAAAGTTACAAATTAAAGCATATTAGTCCATATCAGTATACAACATACGCTTTGTGTAAAGCTTTGTTGAATATGTATGTCTTAGCATGATCTCAAGCTTGGGTCTTCAGAGACATGGTTCTTATGAGAAAGCTGAGTCTGTTGAATTGGCCTTTTCTCAAACTGGTTTTCTGTCCCCAGAAGTGGACTTGCTGGCCAAGGAGCTAGAGGACTTTGAGATGAAGAAGGCTGCTGCTCGAGCTGTCACTGGGGTCCTCGCCTCTCACCCCAACAGCACTGATGTCCACATCATCAACCTCTCGCTCACCTTTCATGGCCAAGAGCTGCTCAGTGACACCAAACTGGAACTGAACTCGGGCAGACGCTATGGTCTTATTGGCTTAAATGGAATTGGTGAGGCCTTGGGAAGGCGAGGTGGGAGGTATCTCTCCTTGACTTACCTGTCACTCGACAAATACCTGTTTAGCATTTGCTTTGTATAAAGTAGAGCTCCCTGATGGCACAGTGGATTAAGCATTGGGCAACTAGCCAAAAGTTTGGCGGTTCAGACCGGGAGCAAAATGAGGGTATCCTCTCCCTCAAGTTGTACAACCCCAGAAACCCTGGGGAACACATAGGCTCGGTCCTGCCGGGTCACTAGGAGTTGAAATCGACTTGATGGTAATACGTTCATGTTCAAAGTGAGCTTGCAGTAGGGGTGGGAGACCACATGTGCCCAAGGGAAAGGAGCTAGCAATACAGGGCCTCTGGTAAGTGCCAAATAAATAGGTGTGGACTATAGGTGCTTGAGGAGTTGGTAGAAGAGGGTGGTGAAGATGTGTAAGCCTCTGTAGAGGGGTTGGAATAAGACTTGAAGGCAAGCTGGAATAGCACCCCAGTAAGGGGGTGTGGTGGGAGTTGAACAGATGAAATCAGAGTACTTGATACAAACGGTGGGCTCCTGACTTGGCTGGAGTTGGGGGTGGTCCAGGGGAACAGTGGGACGGACTATTCTGAATGTCGCCTTGTCTCCATTTGTTGCTGCTGCTCAGGAAAGTCCATGCTGCTCTCTGCTCTCGGGAAACGGGAAGTGCCCATCCCCGAGCATATTGACATCTACCATCTGACCCGCGAGATGCCCCCTAGTGACAAGACACCCTTGCAGTGTGTGATGGAGGTGGACACGGAGCGGGCCATGCTGGAGAGGGAGGCCGAGCGGCTGGCGCACGAGGATGGTAGGACCGAGACTGAGGGGAGGCAGGTGCGGGCTTACTCCAGGGAAGGCCTCCGGAGGCTCATGGGCATCTTCCCCCACAGCGGAGTGTGAGAAGCTGATGGAGCTGTATGAGCGCCTGGAGGAGCTGGACGCCGACAAGGCAGAGATGAGGGCCTCCCGGATCCTGCACGGGCTGGGCTTCACCCCCGCCATGCAGCGCAAGAAGCTCAAGGACTTCAGTGGAGGCTGGAGGATGAGGGTTGCCCTCGCCAGGTCAGTTCTTCCTTCCCGCCCCTCCAGCTCTCCATCTCCTGGGTTGAATGTGCACTCCAGTGGGACAGTGGAGCCACTTTTTAATAACAGACGTGGACCGTGTAAGAAGAGGGCCGTCTGTGTGCACTGGGTGGTGAGTTCCCTGCCGCATGTGCTCAGGGTGCTTGTGTCTTTGAGTGTCCAGTGCAGTGGGTCCTAGGTTCAGCCCTAGGTAAAATTGGGATGAAGGTTTACTCCCTTTGCTTGATTACAGCCCTTTTTTATGCTCCAGACTTACTCATTCTAGCTATAAAGAGCAATGGTAGATGATTCTTAGAAGACCTATCGTCCCTACACTCTTGTGGCTGGGAGGGACCCTAAGCAAGTCCCGTAGCACCTCAATCGAGAGTAGGTGAGCTGATTCAGTCTTCATCTTTAGGAAGGATGCCTGTCTACATTAGAGCAGTGGTTCCCAAATGCCAAGAAAGTTTCTTTGCCTCAGCATCACATGGGGAATTTTTTTTTTCACCTGGGGAATTTTAATCATCCAGATTTCACAGGCTATCTTACAGACCCATCAAATCAGAAGGGAGGCTGAAAATGCCCAGAAATGTCACTTCTTAGTATCTTTCTGTCTTCCTGATGGTCACCAGCCTCACTGCAGAGGACTTGTGGATGCCTAAGGACCTTTCTTGCCAAACTAGATGATCTCTGCCTCTAAACCCAGGTTTATACCCTTTGATCTCTGCTCTGTAACTCTGGTTCTCTTGAAGTTTCCCCCTCTCTTTTGAAGTATACAAAACAATTGATTGCAGGACTTCTGCCAGGACCTGAGCCTCCTTGCTTGCAGCAGGCGATTGAATTATTTCCTGGACCTGTCTGACTAAGATGCTCTCTGTCTCTTTTCCTGCCCCTCAGAGCCCTCTTTATTCGGCCCTTCATGCTGCTCCTGGACGAGCCCACCAACCATTTGGACCTTGATGCCTGTGTGTGGTTAGAAGAAGAACTCAAGACGTAAGGGGGCGGGGATAAGGGATGGAAGTTGGGAGATTCTGGAGGGAGGGTGAGCAGCGTCCAAAGGGAATGGACACCTAGAAGCCGCACTGACGCCTAGAGCAGTGAGAACAAGCACTGAAGGCAGGCCAGCTTGGAACAGGGTCAGCACCTAGGATGGACTTTCTGGCTTTGTCAAATCTGAAATATTTTCCCTGTATTTAAAATAGAAGAACATCTTTATTAAAGGCAACTTTACTTATTGTAAATTGTGATCCTATATACACCCCATGAAAGGAGTTGCAGTGGAAGATCATTCCAAGAGATAAAAAGCTTAGATGGAAACAAGGCCACAATGACTAAAAGATATCCTGGGGTATTGTGCCTACTTGTAAAGAAGCTACAGTGACCCCCTTTCAAAAAGAAAGGCCTGCCTGATGCCCTCTGCTTTGTTGGTTCCATAATTCTTCCCACCTCGGTTTTGTGCACAGTCACGGGTGTTTGTCTGCATATGCGTTTCTTTTTGCCACCTCTTCTTGTTGACTCCCTTTACTCCATTCTCTTGGAAATTAGAAAAGATGGATCTTTCCTTGGGGAAACTCAAACTGTGTCACCGTACTTTGAAAGGCATCCAGGTATCTGTACAGATAGATTGTACACTGTGGCTTCAGTGTGCACAGTAGAGGGCTAGGAATTGGACAGTAACCCTTAAGGTGCTCAGGGTTTAGGATGGGAGAGGATGGATGTTTTCTAAGTCTGACTAGGTTCACTTGCTGTGATCCATCTCCCATTTGTGAGCATCTCCCTGACTGGCTCTCTGACTTTACAGTTTTAAGCGTATCCTGGTCCTCGTCTCCCATTCCCAAGATTTCCTGAATGGTGTGTGCACCAACATCATTCACATGCACAACAAGAAACTGAAGTATTATACGGTGAGTGGTGCTTACCCGCTTTTAAAGATAGACTTTGTAGCCCTTTTCTATGTATTACTATAAAAAGATACAAAGAGTCTTGCAGCTTGGTTTTATAAAGTTTGTTTTACTACCAAAGTAATTGCTTTCAGACTGTGGGCCGTGGCTTGGCAGCATGTGCATATGTCTGGTGTCTGTTTGCCTTGTGAGCTAGCCTAGGAACCTGACCTGGAGCCCCACTCTGGCTATCCTAAGAGTGAGAAGCATAAGAATTTTGAAGGCCTCTAATTCTAGATTGGAATGTTCCACCCTTAGCTCTTTAAACTGGTTAGTGCACGCCACACCTGACACCTGGGCTGCTGCCTCCTGCCCTTGTGTGTCCCCACAGGGTAATTACGACCAGTACGTGAAGACTCGCCTGGAGCTAGAGGAGAACCAGATGAAGCGCTTCCACTGGGAACAGGACCAGATCGCGCACATGAAGGTAGGTAGTGTTGGATGAGAGCATCTGGGGAGCATTTGGATGAGGACCTGGGGAGCAGAAAGGCTATGGCCATCATGTTGACTGTGGACTTAAGACAGGTTCTTTGGCGCCCTGCACATATCCTTTCTGCTCTCTTTCAGAACTATATCGCCAGGTTTGGCCATGGCAGCGCCAAGTTGGCCCGGCAGGCCCAGAGCAAAGAGAAGACACTACAGAAAATGATGGCATCGGGCCTGACAGAACGGGTTGTTAGTGACAAGGTGGGGTCTGAGTGGGAAGGCTCGGGGCCTGTGGGGCTTTTATGCGGTGGGTAAGAAAGGAATGACCCTGACCCAGGAGGAGCCCCGGTGACTAAGCACTCAACTGCTAACTGGAAGGTTGGCATTCCAACCCACCCAGGGGCTCCGTAGGAGAAAGACCTGGCAAACCACTCCTGTAAAAATTGCAGTCTCGGAAACCTTTGGGGCAGTTCTGTTCTGTCCCACGGGGTCGCCGTGAGTCAGAATGTACTTAAACCACCAATAACAACAAACTTGAAAAATATCCTCTTCTTTTCCTAGACGCTATCGTTTTATTTCCCACCATGTGGCAAGATCCCTCCACCAGTCATTATGGTACAAAACGTGAGCTTCAGGTATACGAAAGATGGGGTAAGTTGGGGCCAGGGGTTGTATGAGAGCACAGAATGGTTGAGATGTTGGGGTGATTTTCACAAGAGGAGCATCAGCTGCTAAGAGGGTCTCGTTTGGCTTTACTGACAACACCCACCACTGCGTAAGCCTCTTGTGGTAAGGGGGGTTTTTCAGACATGGCACCTGGAGTGTTGTCTAAGCACTCACTGGCCCTTTTTAAAGTGCTTAGATGGAAAACTGCCGAGCTACAGTGGCAAGTTGCGATCATGGATGGAGTCTCATTTGAGCTATGTCTCACTGACTGTCACCACTACCACCTCTAACAGTGAACAGTGGCTCGGGGCTGGTCTGTCAGTAGATCAGTATTTGACCATCAAATCCATGTCTCTCTAACCTCCCACTGCAGCCTTGCATCTACAACAACCTAGAGTTTGGCATTGACCTCGACACACGAGTGGCTCTGGTAGGGCCCAATGGAGCAGGGAAGTCAACGCTTTTGAAGCTGTTAACTGGAGAGGTATGGTGCCTTATTGGGGGGTGGTTACTTTCCAGTGTAGCTACTTGCTGTGCCCTAAAGAAGAGAGAGCTCATATAGGAGCCACTGCTCTTGCAAGGCGTGGAGGAGGGGAGGGTGCAGACAGTTGGGAGAGGGTGTGCAGTTGGGTGGGCTATGAGGCTTGGCACTGTTGCCGAGGGAGAGAGAAATAGAGATCCAGATTATGTGTGCGCGCATGGATGTGCTTATGCGCGTGTGTCAGCATTTTCCATGTGTAATCAGAACTCTCAGTATGGGAGTAACTACGTTTTCAGTGAAGTACTTATTTTCGCAAAGGTCTGCTGTGCTACCTTCCAAGACTTTTGTTACACAGCATAGTACATTCTTTGTTGGTAGGTGCCTATGATTTGACGCCAACTCGTTGTGAACCCTGAAAGACGGTGCAGAACCTCCTACCTCATGGTGGTCTCTAGGGCTAGTCTGTGTGGCTGCAGATTTGCAGGTCTATGGAGCCACTGGGTTTCAAACTACCAACATTCCGGTAACAACCAAGCACTATACCAGTAGCCCCCCAGCACTCCTGGGACATTCTCTGTTGTAGGTGCCTTCCAATTGTTTACGGCTGAAGGAAACACTGCCCCGTCTTACCCCAGCCTCACCGTTTTTACTGTCTGAGCACATGGCTGCAGCCACTGTGTCAGCTCGTCTCAGAAAGGCCTAACTCCCTCTTTTCACTGCCTGACTTTAGCACGCATGATACCCTTTTCTAGGGACTGGTTTTGCTCGCATGATACCCTTTTCTAGGGACTGGTTTTGCTCGCATGATACCCTTTTCTAGGGACTGGTTTTGCTCGGTAACAGGTCCAGAGCTCACTGCCCTGGCTTCTGGAGAGCATTCTAGCTGTACGGTCTCGCTGCTCTAGTGGCCGTCCATGGCACTTTGGATAGTTTTCGCCAACACCGTAATTCAGACGCATAGTTCTGCTTGGTACGTCTGTGTTCATTGTTCAGCTTTCATATGCCTAGGAGGCAATGAGAAAGAAGGCTTGGGCCGGGCTCTCCTTGGTCCTGGAAGTGGACGTGACAGCTCTGGCACTATAAAGAAGTCCTTTGCAGCACATTTGCCCAGTGCAATCCATTTGATGTTTGACTTCTTGACTGACTACTGCTTCCATGAGCGTGGATTATGGATTCGTGTAAAATCCTTGGCAGTTGAACCATTTCTCCCTCTGATGATGGTGTTCACTGGTCCAGTCGTGAGGATTTTTGTGTTCTTCATATTAAGTTGTAATCCACACTGTAGCCTGTTCTTTGCTTGTGCCAAGCCAGGTTAGGCCATCTGCATGTTACAGCACTGCAGTAGGTATTTAATGACAAACTGTATTTATACTACCTCTGTTGGAACACATCTGTCTCGATGTGTCTTTGTACATATTTTTAGCCTGGGCTGTGATTGGTGAGGTGTCCTGTGTTCAGGAAGCTGTGTGTGTACATATGTCTGGTGTCTGTTTGCCTTGTGAGCTAGCCTAGGAACCTGACCTGGAGCCCCACTGTCTCCCCACTCTGCTTTTGTTTCTGATGGGTTTTCTTGTATGTGTGTGCTGATGTATCCACTTGCTCCTTTTTCCCTAGCTACTCCCCACAGACGGCATGATCCGAAAACACTCTCATGTCAAGATAGGGCGTTACCATCAGGTATGATGTGTGTAAGGGGTGGGAGGTGTCCAGGGTATAGGAAAGGAACTACAGCTGACCAAATGCCAGTCTCCCCAAGAAACCCCAGCCCCGTCAGCTCCTGCCTGCTGCTCCTTGACTCTTGAACAGGCACTTGGAGAGCCCTGGGATAAAGTTACTGCTGCGGAGTCAATTCTGACTCAGCAAGCCAATAGGACAGAGTAGAATTGCATCATAGGGTTCCCAACACTGGGGTCTTGATGGAAACAGGTGACTAGGTCTTTCTCCCATGGCGTGACTGGTGGGTTTGAACTGCTGACATGTGGTTCATGGGACTGTGCCACCAGAGCTTCCTGGGCCCCAGAGTAGAGGTATAACGTGCCCAGCAGGTAGCAGAGCAGGCGTCCTTTGGTACAGCAGGACAACGGTCACACTGGGTGGGCTCTCTTTCTCCTGTAGCATTTACAAGAGCAGCTGGATTTGGACCTCTCTCCTTTGGAGTACATGATGAAGTGCTACCCGGAAATCAAGGAGAAGGAAGAAATGAGGAAGATCATTGGACGATATGGTCTCACTGGGAAACAGCAGGTCAGTGGACGGCACGAGCGGCAGGACCTCAGCCAATCACGAGGCCTTGGCTCTCTGGATTTGAAAGCTACACTCAAAGTCACCTCCTTTAGACTGCAGTCCTTAAGAGAGTCTGCTTCCTCTCCGTTTATTTTTTTTTCCCCTTCCATTATAGAGATGGGAGGGAAGTAACATCCAGGATTAGCCCTGGACAACTTTTGTGGGATTAAAGGGAGTGTGTAAATCCCAGGCTCATCTGAGTGGTGATGCAGGGCAGCCCTGAGGTTTTATACGGGATGGGCAAGGAGAGGTGTCTCAGCCTTTGGCATCTTTACTGTCAGACTTCAGGAAGGTTTCAATCCAGGGCAGAAAGCAGTGCTTACTGCAAGGCAAGGGACAAGGAAGCCTAGAGAAAACAAATTCCTGGAACTGAAGGCCACTGCGTTTCCAGTTTATTAGGGGGGGTGTGCTGAGGGAAACAGGTAATGGTATGATCTTTTGAAGACAAGGCCTTTGAGTTTGAGGCCCTGGGGGACGAGGGGCTCTGCCCCTGTGTCATTTTGGCCCTTTCATACTTCACTTGGTAAAATGACAGGGATTGGGCCAGGCATGAGCTATGTCATGCTCTGGGATGATGATGTTTGTTCTGTGCCACCCCACCCCCAGGTAAGCCCAATCCGGAACCTATCTGATGGCCAGAAGTGCCGTGTGTGCCTGGCCTGGCTGGCCTGGCAGAACCCACACCTGCTCTTCCTGGACGAGCCTACCAATCACCTGGACATTGAGACCATCGATGCGCTGGCTGATGCCATCAATGAGTTTGAAGGTGGCATGATGTTGGTCAGCCATGACTTCAGACTCATCCAACAGGTGAGAGGCTGGGCCAGGGCAGGTGCCATAAGGAGCACCCAGGAGAGGTCAGCAAGGGGGCGGGGTGGGGTGGGGAGAAGGAGGCATTATAGCATATGCAGGCCCTTCTTGGAGACTCCTCACAAAATAGTGCTTTGGGGAGGATTGGACTGATCAGCATTAAGTCTCTGGTTTTTGCTTTCAGGTGGCACAAGAAATCTGGGTCTGTGAGAAGCAGACAATCACCAAGTGGCCTGGAGATATCCTAGCCTACAAGGAGCACCTCAAGTCCAAGCTGGTGGATGAGGAGCCTCAGCTCACCAAGAGGACCCACAATGTGTGAGCCCTCTGCCCAGGCTTGGGTCAGGAGTTCCCCTGGGGACTTGACAGCTGCTACCCTGACCAGCCGCTCAGGATGGGACCCCAGGGCTGCACTCCTGCGTTGCTGCAAACTGCTCCCCAGCCTCGCCTGCCCCTCAGCCGGCCTTAGCTGCACTCTTATGTACAGCTGGACAGTACCTGTCCGTTTCCTGTCTTCTTCCCAGTGACCTTTGTCCAGGTCTGGACTCAGCTGGCTCTTCCCTTCCAGCCCCTGGCTGGTCACCTGATCTGGATAGTGATGCAGCCAGAGGCATCTGGGAGTTAGTCCAAGGGCTGAAGCCCTGGATTTGACCCGTGAATGAGCTTAGGATTCTCATTTTCTGGATGTTGGTGATGTTGGTGGAAACCTCCAGCTCCACCGCCTCCATTCTTTCTGAGTCTCATTTGGAGCTCTAGACCAAGGCTTTAGTCTTGGTCAGTTTTAAAATAATTATTTAACTGTAATCTCTAGACCTGTGTGACACCTACAAAGCGTCCAATAAAGGGAGAAGAGTCCACGGCACCTGCTGTCTTTATCGGGTCTAAGGGACATTTCACTCCCCATCGCCTCCTCTCCACAGGAGGACGCAGTGAGTGGGATGTGGACCGAGGATTAGTCTTTAGGAGATGAAAGAGACTGGATAAGAGCAAGCGATTGTCCAGCAATCCCAGAGCTGCTTCCTCTGCTGGTTTGTGGCTGCGTTGTCTTAGGACTGAGGTTCACAAATGTCGGCCTGCTCCGTCCCACTTGGAGGGCATGGTCAAACTGGACTGCTGGGCCTTCGTGCTTGGTTCAACAAGTGTGGGTGGGCCTGGAGTTACGTCCTACATCTCCCACCGTCCCAGTGTTGCGGAGTTCCTGCTAGCCGACCACAGGTGTGCAGCGGGTCAAGGCTCCCTAGGTTAACACTTGGGCCACTAGCTAGAGGTACATATTTGGGTTCTATTAGTGCGAGAGATGCAGAGATGGTCAGGAGTTTGCATTTTCACACACAAGTTGGTGAACCACTGGTTCTTGGTAAAATACAGGTAGTTTAAGCTACTCACAGCCTTCATTTTGTGCGGCACTACCCTGTGGACTTGCAGGCCAGGGCTCTGTCCGTTGCCTGGGGGTTTGTGTGCTTGAGCAACACATCAGAACTTTGGTGCTGTTGGGCGTATCAGTCAGCACACTGCATATCCCAAACTTTCAACAGATGAGCGTAGGCAGGACTGATCGACATCAGTCGTACCCCTAATGCTATCCTAAAGCCCCGGAGTGTCCCAAACTCCCATGGAACTCAAAAGTTAGAGAACAAGATGTTAGATGCCATCAAATTAGTTTTGACTCAATTGCAATCCGATGTACAACAGAACAAAAGACTGCCTGGTCCTGCGTTTTTGAGAACAAGGCAGAAAGGATGTAAACCAGATGCTAGATTATGGTGGTGGGCCCACAGAAGTTGCCCAAAGGGGGAGACGTGGGGGTAGCTGTCCAGAGAGCCAGGGCTGGATTCTGACTCAAGGAGGAGTAGGGTCTCAGCTGGTACTGAACAGCACAAGACTTGGGACGACATCGCTCAGACAGCCCGTCTGATGGTGACACCCACCCCTGCTTGCTGTTTCTTCCTTTCCCAGGGAAGTGGGGCCTGGACCAAAGCGGCCTCAGTAAGTCTGAGTATTCCGAGACCTGGTTCAGGATGAGGGAGCTGAAAGAGCTGCTGCGGCTACAGCCACAGTGAGCGGAGGCCCTACTTCAGCCAGGATGTGAGGCGGGGGTTCAGAGCATTCATTACAGCTTGCCAGCGTCTCCAGAGAAGTATCTGATGTGCTAGCTCTTAGGTCTTCAGAGTCCAGATGGGTGGGAGAGGTAGCCTTGTCAGCTCATTTGTCCTGTATCCCGAGGCCACACCCATCTCCATTTGAAGAATACTTCAGAATATTTCTCTGCAAGTGTCTCAACCCAGCAGTGCTATCTTTGAAGTTCAGATGGACCCAGGTCTCTCAAACTAGCCTGGAAGAAGGATGAGAGACCCCGCCAGAACCAGGTGCAGAAGTGAATGAGGTGGGATTGTTCACGTTACTCACTGCCCTTTCACACAACGGGTCATGGGTGTCTCTGGGACTCCTCCTCCCCACCACTTGATTTTGAATACTCCCTTCCACCCCCACCCCAGTCTTGTTCCCCACGTTGCTCTGGGGTTCGGTTCTTCATTCACAACCACCAAGAGGCTGAACGCACACAGGTGCTGAGACAACTTCTCCACCAAACAAGGCCTTAGCTCTCACACACAGCACCTGCTTTTGTGGAGCGCGCCATTCGTTTTGCTCTTCCAGTTTCTTTCACCCGAAATCCTCGCCCTGCCATATTCTTCCTCATGGACCCTAGTTCCCTGCTGTTCACCTCCAGGCTTGGCGTGCCCTTGTACTCCATTGACAACCCCTCTCTGACCTCTGCAGACCTTTCTTCCACCCTACCTTCCACACCATTGCTCCCTCCATTGTCATCGACCATTAAACTGTAACCAGCCTGTAAGACTAAATCCCCACGTCCTTCACGGAGCCTTTGCTGGCTAGGCCAGCTCTCCTGTTTTTGTTTTGTTTTGTTTTTGAGCTCTTGTACTTATTAACCATCCACACACCTTAGTCCCTTTCCCCTACTGATAGTCTGAGGTGGATCTCTCTGATCTCGTAAACAATACTGCAGGGTCTGTGGGACCTTGGGTCTCTTCAGGCTGCCCCAACATGTATAGCCAACTGAGATTGGGTGCTCAGTATCCATCTTGGGAAAGGAGCTTGGGGGTGGGGTGATCCACTTTTGAAGTTTGTAAATGCAGTGGGGGGAGGGGAGACTGCTGAGGGTATCTGACCCAGGAAACGCAAGTTACTTGGGGAGAAGAGGGAGCAAGTGGAGATTGACCTGGGGGCTCTGGATAGGGTGGGGCCAAGCCCTGCCCCCTCTACCCCACTGCCCCAGGTGCTCCAGCCCAGCCACACCTGGTGGAGCAGCTGGCTTCATATAAGTGACTCCAGGGTGTGGAAGGCGGCTGTTAGGAGGAGCCGGGAGTCAGGGGATGAGCGCTGAGCCTGAGCTGCAGCAGCAACGGCCTGGAGGACAAAGGAGCTGTGGTGCTGGGGGCAAGAAGTCCAAAAAGCGTAGCTGCCGCAAAGACAACTACTCTATCTATATCTACAAGGTGCTCAAGCAGGTGAGAGCAAGGGTGTGTGTGCATGCATATGAACTCCCATCAGGAGCCCCGCTTCTGAGACAGTCCTCAGACACTTCCCGCTTCTTTGGGGGGGAGGGGAGGTTAGACTTGATCTGGAAGCCCCAGCCCCTCAGTGTCTGTCAAACACCTGTGCTCAGTGGGAGACTGAATGAATACATGCTCTCCCTGACACCACCACCACTTTGGGGTGGAGGAGAATATGGAGTGGAACATTAAGTGGGGCCATGTGAAAGGGCCAAACCGCTCAGTACAGACAGAATGGTGGGGGTGGGGGTGGGGGTGGAAGGAAGCGGCCAGTCAGACAGGCAACTGATAGTTGAAGGCCTTGAGAATCACAGATGCTTCCGCTTGACCCAGTCACATGCTGATCGGGACATGCTCTGCTTGTCCCACTGCAAAGCAACAGGTGGCCAAGGACCCTCCCTTCTCCTGTCCTCCCAGCCAGGTTCAGCATGCTGATGAACATTTGGGGCCACCAATAGCCAGCCAGCGTGTCGGGCCCAGATCATTGGCCTCAGAGCCACTGCCCTGCAGGTTGCATCTGTAAATGGGCAGAACCACGCTGTGCCCTGCCGCAGCTTCTCACCCTAGAGAACCTCTTGTTAGGCTAGATGGCAGGTGGGGCCTGGTCTTCAGCGTTCCTGTTAGCAGTTTGAGTGAGGACAGCCGGGACTTTAGGGATTGTGTTGGCGGGGTATGCAGTAGGTCCACTAGGGACTTGTGCTGGTCAGAAGGCAGCCACGGAGGACAGAGGACTGCCCACCACCAGTCAGGAGGGCAGAGGAGGGTGCCACTGAGCCTTGCAGCTTAGCCTAACTTGGGCTCAAAAATGGATGTGAAAGGATGGGATCTGGTTGGGAGTTGCCCCTTTGCCCAAGCAGGGCAAAGCCTGGCCTCATCGTTTTCTTTTTCACTGGTAATTACCTACCAAGTTACCTGCACAAGCCCTTGGACCCATCAGTCCCTGGTGGTGTGGTGCTTACGAACTAGGCTGCTATTCACAAGGTCACCAGTCATTCCATGGGAGAAAGATGAGAGCTTCTCCTCTCATCGAGAGTTACAGCCTCGAGTCCTCAGGAAGGAACACAGAAGATACAGGTGCTAGAGCAAACTGTGGAGAAGAAATTAGATGGTGCCGGGCTATCAGATAAAACAGCATCTGCGGTCTTAAAGGCTTGTCTCCAAACAGCCATTTAAGCGAGATGTCAACAAGTCCACATGGAAGAAGCACACCATCAGTCAACAAAGTATTGTAAATCATGTCATCTGAAGTGGAAGGAGGGATCGGTATCGGGGCCTAAATTGTGGGAATCTGGTGTGCAAAAGGCGATGGATGACAGTGGAGCCCAAGATTCATTTGTGAAAACTACGTAGGAAACAAGCCCCCGGTGAACTTCTATCCACAATTGAGGGACGGGAGGAAAGGGGTTACTAAACAGAGGGCACTGGAGAGATGAGTATAGAAGATCAAAGGCTTAAGTCTGACATTTGACCAGCCAAAACTGTCGGTCGATCCCCTTCTGATGCATGCTGAACCTGATCTGGTTTACCACGTTTTCTGTATGTTTGTTTTGCTTGTTCAGATTAGGGTGTATCTCAGAGGTGTGATGTCATTGGAGGTCACCCTCTGAAAGCTGTGTTCTATGCTGCTCGGTTTTTTGGTCTGTGAAACCCAGGAATGATGGGACAGCAAGTAGAACAAAGCTTTCACGGGGTGGGGGATGGGGGGGTAAAAGGGAGCTGATGTCAAGGAGTCCAGGAAGAAAAAGAATGTTTGGAAACCGTTTGTGGTAGCAATTACAATTCTACTTGATGTGATTGAACTCTGGAATGACATAGGTATGAACTCTGTATTAATAACTTTTTTTTAAGTTATGGCCTTGGAAATGCCCAAGGGCAGTTCTCCCCTGCCCTCCAGGGTACTAGAAGTTGGAATCAACCCGATGGCAGTGAATTTGGTTTTTATACTGACATGAAAAATGAAACCCACTGCCATTTGCAGTTACCCTGGAGGATAGAGTAGAACTGCCCTCGTGGGTTTCTGAGGCTGTAAATCTTTATGGGCACAGAAAGCCTCATCTGGCTCCTTATGAGTGGCTGGTGGGTTTTGAACCACCGACCGTGTGGTTAGCAACCCAGCCCATAGCCTAATAGTTACTCAAGGGGCTTCCAAAGGTTTGTGGGGAAACTCCCTTATCTTTTT